GGGCAGCGGTGGTCGGCCCTCTCTGCAAGGCTCCCCCAACCCCGATGCTCAAACGTTTGCATCTAGGTACCTTGATTAAACCCTCCTTAAAAATGATCCAAGTTTGTATTGAAATTTTTAACCCTAAGCTAAAACAAATAAAACTTAAATCTTCTAGAAATAATATTAAAAATTACCAGGATATAATTTACCTACTTAGCACCAGTTAGACGAGAAAATTATAATCCAGAAATGACTGAAATTATCACTTTATTCTGACGTCTTTACCAACAAGGAATTCAATTTAATAAGGTTTTTTTTATTAAGAATCGAAGCTCTTAACCACCCCCTCCCCCTCCTTGCTACCTAACCTAACCTAACCTAACCACCTCCCTTCCCTTGCAACCTAACCTAACTAACCTAACCACACCCTCCCTAAACCTAACCTAACCACACTACACCACCCCTCCCCCTCCTTGCTACCTAACGTAACCCTAACCTAACAACCCCCCTCCCCTTCCTTGCAACCCCTTCTAACTAACCACCCCCCCCCCTTGCTACGACTACACACAAACAGACAAGACACCCCCCCCCTGCAACCCTAACCTAACCAACCACCCCTCCCCTCCTTGCTACCTAACCCCACCCCTCCCTTCCATAAACCTAACCTAACCATGCAACCTAACTAACCTCTTCCACCTCCCCCTGCAACCCTAACCCTAGCAAACCTCCTCCATATGTGACCTATAAAGACTCGCTAAAACATTATACTTCAGGTTATTGAATCTATGTATATTTTTAAAGGTTTGATTGGTTAGATTTTTTTGAAGGTCATTTGGTTGGGAGAGGACTTAGTTGGGTTGGTTAGGAGGGTTAGTTGAGGTTATGGTTGGTTGGGTTAGGGTTGAGTTGGGGGTTTTAGGCGTCAACGTTGGGATAATGAATGGTCTGGGTGGCGCTGCGGGGTGGAGGAGGGAGGAGAAGTCCTGTTTGCTCCTCCTTGTCCCTCACCTCTCACACTTACATACCTCCTCCCTCCACCTCCCTCACCTACCTCCCCTCCTCACCTGTCCCTCACCTCTCACACTTACCGCCACATACCTCCTCCCTCACCTGTCCCTCACTTACTCCTCCTCCTCACCTGTCCCTCACACTTACCCCACATACCTCCTCCCTCACCTGTCCCTCACCTCCTCACACTTACTACCTCTCCCACCTCCCTCACCTCTCCACTTACCGCCACATACTCCTCCCTCACCTGTCCCTCACCTCTCCCTCCACCCTGTCCCTCACCTCTCACACCACGCCACATACCTCCTCCACCTCTGCCACATACCTCCTCCCTCACCTCTCACCCTCCACATACCTCCTCCCTCACCTGTCCCCACCTCTCACACCACCGCCACATACCTCCCTCCCTCACTTGTCCCTCACCTCTCACACTTACCGCCACATACCTCCTCCCTCACCTGTCCCTCACCTCTCACACTTACCGCCACATACCTCCTCCCTCACCTGTCCCTCACCTCTCACACTGTCCGTCACTACTACTACTACTGCCTCTACAGCTTCTAATACTTCCTTCACTGTTTTGATGTAGACCTAGGTAGTGTTTTAGACCTAGGTACTAGAGTGTTGTTGTTGACCTAGACAGTGTTTTAGACCTGGTTAGTGTTGTAGACCTAGGTATTGTTGTAGACCTAGGTACTAGAGTGTTGTTGTAGACCTAGATAAGTGTTGTAGACCTGGGTAGTGTGGTAGGCCTAGACAGTGTTTTAGACCTAGACAGTGTTTTAGATATAGGTTGTACTGTAGACCTAGGTAGTATAATAACCGGCCTAGTGTTGTAGACCTAGACAGCCTCCTCCTCCTCCTCCTCCTGCACCACCACCTTCTACTACTACAAGTTTTCACCCGGCAGAATATTGGCTGTGAGTCACTTGAGAGTTTTTCCGCTTCATCCACCATATATGGGGAATGACTCTTGCCAAACATTACAGCTAGCTTATAATGTGCTCTCCAGTCCACCTACCTACCTACCTACCTACCCACCTTCTTGTACTCCTGCTGCGCCTCCTTCAAGCATGTTACTGGCTCGCTCTCCTACGCTGGTGTTTTTGTGTGTGTGTGTGTGTGTGTGTGTGTGTGTGTTTTTTACCTTCATCTGGAACGTTCGTACTTTCTCCCGTTACTGTGAGGGTTGGTCATTCGTTCATACATGCTCGTTGGGGTGTGTTTCAAAATGAGTTTAATTATATTTTTTGTATGATAATTTTTCTGTTGTTTTGTTTTCATGTTTGTTATTGTTTGTCACACACACACACACACACACACACACACACACACACACAGACATCAATGCTCTACCACCTCATATATTGTTAAATTATTGTTATTTTTGTATTTTTTTTTGTGTAATTTTATCATTTTATGTAGTTTGGAAGTCTTGGTATTTATTACTAGTTTTGGGGGGTTCTTTACAACCTTTCTTTCCTTCTTTCTTTCGTTTTCACTCTTCGTCCCTCTCTACCCCTCTTTCTTTTTCACACTCCTCTCTTTTCATTTCCTTACCACTCCCGCCCCCTCTCTCTTCCCTCTCTTCCTTCATTTCTTTCCCTCTCCCCCTCTGTTTCTTTTTCTTCCCTCCCTCTCTTCCTTCCCTCACTTATTTTTCTCTCCTTGCTCCCTCTCTCCCTGTGGCAGATGTGTAGACTGGGGGTAGGCGTGTAGACTGGGGTAGGCGTGTAGACTGGGGAGACAGGCGTGTAGACTGGGGAGACAGGCGGTATGGAGCTGGAGAGACAGGTATGGGCGGGGGGCGGCGTGTGAACTGGGGTAGGCGTGTAGACTGGGGGAGACAGGCGTGTGTGGAGGCTGGGGGTAGGCGTGTATGGGCTGGGGGGTAGGCGTGTAGACTGGGGGTAGGCGTGTAGACTGGGAGGGCATGTGGAGCAGGTAGGAGTGTGAACCTAGGGAGACAGGCGTGTAGACTGGGGTAGGCGTGTAGACTGGGGGTGGCGTGTAGATTGGGGTAGGCAGGCGTGTAAACTTGGGTAGGCATTGGCCAGATTGGGGTAGGTGTGTAGACTGGGAACTAGGCGTGTAGACTTGGGGGAGGCAGTAGACAGAGCAAACAGGTGTGTAAACTGGGGTAGGCGTGTAGACTTGGGGTGGGGGTGGTAGGCAGGTGTGTAGACTGGGACCCCCTCACAACATTAACACAGGTCTTAGTGAAAGCTCCCCCAGACACCCGAGATGTACACCGCTTATTACACCATAATAACGACCAAATATGGCTTTTAGATCCCTCAAACGGGCGGGCGGGCGGGTGGGCGGGCGGGTGGGGTGGGGTGGGGGATGTTCCTCGCCACACTATACCACCTACCTGCACCGCTCATTCTCGCTAGGCCAGGTGGGGTGACGATGGTGGAGATGGTGCTGGTGATGGTGGTGACTGGAGAGGATGATGTTGGTGATAATGTGGTGGTGACTGGTGGAGATGGTGTTGGTGAGGATGGTGATGGTGTGGTGGTGGTGACTGGTGGAGATGGTGATGGTGGTGAGCTGGTGATGGAGATGATGATGATGATGATGATGTTGGTGATGGTGCTGGTGAGCCTTGGTGCAGCTGAATCTGTTAACCTCTTGAGTACGATGATTTAACCCCTTGAGTACGATGATTTAACCTCTTGAGTACGATGATTTAACCTCTTGAGTACGATGATTTAACCTTTGAGGACGATGATTTTAACCCTTGAGTACAATAATTTAACCCCCTGAGTACGATGATTTTAACCTTTGAGTACGATGATTTAACCTCTAGTACGATGATTTAACCTTGAGTACGATGATTTAATGAGTACGATGATTTTAACTTTGTCGATGATTTTAACCTTTGGTATGATGATTTAACGAGTACGATGATTTAACCTTTGAGTATGATGATTTAACCCTTGATGATGAATTTTAACCCTTGAGTATGATGATTTAACTTGGTACAATAATTTAACTTGAGTACAATAATTTAACCCCCTGAGTACGATGACCATCCCAAGTGTATCGTGTAGGTGTAGGAGAGTGTATCCTGCCAGTGTAAGTGACCGCTATGAAGAGGGTAGCCTAAGTCTATCGTATTATGAAGTACCTATACACCCTTCCTCCCCCCCCCTCCCACTCCCCCTCTTCCCCTCCCCGGCCAGATGTTCCTTATCCTCGCGTTTCATCTTTAGTGAGGGCAAATTGTTCCCAGAGATTACCTTCATGACCTGACCTTGCCAATGGCCCCAATAGTATAAAGACACCTCTCTCTCTCTCCTCCTCCCCCCCCCCTCCTCTCCTCTCCTCTCTCCTCTCTCTCTCTCTCTCTCTCTCTTCACCTTCTACCACTCCACCCCCCTTCTCTCTCTGCCCCCCCTCCTCTCCCCTGTCTATGGCCTGTCTAAGAGGATTAATTGAAGGAAGGCGGGAGTAGATTGTGTTGTGACGCTCGCTGCCTTCACTATTGTGCCGGGACCACACACACACACACACACACACACACACACACACACACACACACACACACACACACACACACACACACACACACACACACACACACACACACACCTAACTTAACCTAACCTCACCTCCCCAAATCGTGTTAGGGGGGCATTCTTTAGGTGAAATAAGCTGGTGATTTTAAGCTGTTTTTTATTATTATTGCTAGAACTTCATATAATAATCCCATTTCTAAGCTGAAGTGTTCTAAGCTGGAATGTTTACTGTACTTGTAATAAGCTGGGAGAGAGATTTTAAGCTGTTTTTTTATATTATTGCTAAAACTTCATATAATAATCCCATTTCTAAGCTGAAGTGTTCTAAGCTGGAATGTTTAATTGTAATAAGCTGGGAGAGAGATTTTAAGCTGTTTTATTATTATTATTATTATTATTATTTTCATTATTATTATTATTATTATTGCTAGAACTTCATATAATAACCCCATTTATTAAGCTGGAGTATTTGGTTGTCTCACGCAGAAGGTGGTAGGCTGGAGCAGGAGCTGGCGTACGTGGAGAAGACATTGGGTGAAGGGGCCGGCACAACCAAACAGATCGTCATTCTCACTCCCAAAGACCAGGGCGCCAATGTGCTTCACCGGGGCTCTCCTAGCACACTCCGCCGTCCTCATCGCCGCCACGAAAGTCAATATTGATATGTTTGATACGTGAGTACATAGTGTATTATGGTATTGTGTGTGTGTGTGAGAGAGAAGAGAGAGAGAGAGAGAGAGAGAGAGAGAGATGTATGTATGTATGGGTGGGTGGGTCTTGCCGTTTCTCCGCCACCCGCTGTGTCTGATGGTGTTGTGACTGACGGAGGTAGCGCCGCACCATAACCAGTATGGGAACTCTGGAGTCAACAAGTGTCTACTGTAGTTGGGTCGTTAAGGAAGGTGTGGCGGTAAAGTGTAAACAGATATGTGGGGAAGTTTACCTGTAGATGGTGTACAAGTTTACCTGTAGATGAATTGTACAAGATTACCTGAGTTTACCTGAAAATGGTGTACAAGTTTACCTGAGTTTACCTGAAGATGGTGTACAAGTTTACCTGTAGATGGTGTACAAGTTTACATGAGTTTACCTGAAAATTATAGCCCCCAAAGATCATTTCCCAATCACCTGAAGATTAGCCCCCAAACCTTAGGTTAGGTTAGCGTTAAGGTGTTTAATCATCAGGTGAAATAAGTTGGGAGGCTATGAAACCAAACCCAGTAAGTATTGTGAATCCGAACCCAATAAGCTGTTATGAATCCGAAGCAATAAATATAACGAACCCCAACCGAACCCAGGAAGGAAGGTAAATAAATCATCCAGAAAACAGAGAGATAATTATTGTAATGAAAAATATTGTATAAAGCGAAAATCAAATACGTATGATAATCTTCCTTAACTTATAATAATAATAACAACAATGACAATGCAAAGTTTAAACATAGCAATAACGATAAAGTAAAACAAATTATAGTCGAAATATTACAAACAAAAATATATATATATTAAGCAATACAAGAAACAATGTGTTAAAGCTGTGGGTTGAGGTGGGTGGGTGGGTTGAGGTGGGTGGGTGGAGATGGTGCAGCGGGGTGGAGAGGCGGTGGGTGTTAGGTGGGCGGTGAGAGGGAGGTGGGTGGTGGGTAGATGGTGCAGCCGGGAGGGTGGAGGAGAGGGCGGGTGGGTGGTTAGGTGGGCGGTGAAGGAGGGTAGGTGGATGGGTGGGTGGGCGTGGAGGGATTAAGAACATAATTAAGGTGGGCAGGTGAGGCGGGTGCACTTGGCTACTCCGGATGTTCTCTCATACTGTCAATGATTTTAATAATGAATCGTCTCTTATGTGATCTGCCTTCACTATCTCCTGGGACTGTTTTGATCGACTGGGGCTGTTTTGATCGACTGGACTTTTTATAGCGGGGGTTGTTTGATAGACTGAGGCTGTTTTGATCGACTGAGGCTTTTGATCGACTGGGGACTGTTTGATCGACTGGAGACTGTTTTGATGGACTGGGGACTGTTTTGATCGACTGGGGACTTTTATAGACTGGAGACTGTTTGATCGACTGGGGACTGTTTTGATAGACTGGGGACTGTTTTGATCGAATGGGGACTTTTATATAGACTGGAGACTGTTTTGATCGACTGGGGTTGATCGACTGGGACTTGTTTATAGACTGGGGACTTTTTGATCGACTGGGGACTTTTTATAGACTGGGGACTTTTTGTAGACTGGGGACTTTTTATAGGCTGGGGACTTTGATCGACTGGGGACTTTTTATAGACTGGGGACTTTTTATAGACTGGGACTTTTTATAGACTGGGGACTTTTTGATCGACTGGGGACTATTTTGATAGACTGGGGACTATAGACTGGGACTGTTTTGATCGACTGGGGACTATTTTGATAGACTGGGGACTATTATAGACTGGAGACTGTTTTGATCGACTGGGGACTGTTTTGATAGACTGGGGACTGTTTTGATCGAATGGGACTTGTTTATAGACTGAGTTTTTGATCGACTGGGGACTGTTTTGATCGACTGGGACTGTTTGATCGAATGGGACTTATATAGACTGGGGACTATTTGTTGTTTTTAATTCAAGTTCAATAGCATACAACAGCCAAGGTCTTTTTTTTTAAGCACCCGTTCACTGTCAGTCTTAGTTTAGGTGCTTCAACATTCCAGGGTCTTTAAGCACTGACCACCTAAGTCTTATAGTTTTCAGCACTAGATAACAATTAGGGATACTTGTAAATTAGTCTTGTTTTGAGTCAATCTATTCTGATAACTTTACTGACGTATAATTGAGTTTGAAAGTTGAATGAAAGCTTTTTTTTTTAACTTTCAATTCTCTCTGGGAAGTTGATCAAATCCATAAATAATTTTTCTCATCTCGATAATTTGGTCTGGAAAAAAATATATACAAACTTTGGCATTAATATTTGAGAAGTATATAAAGATATGTATTTTTTTTTTTTTGTCCTCCATTTAAAATCCTGTCTAGAAAGTTAATTAAACCTCCAGACATTCCTGCCTCCTCATCACGTATGTAAGAGGTTAATGTCCACGTGTTATTCTGGAGTTAAGAGAGATGATTCAGACCCCGAGAATGAACATAAGTGTCTAATTAAAGCCCGTAACTTACCTGAATTATACCTGATGATGGTTGGGGGGGGTTGGAGGCTCGTCTCTATCTCGGCCACCACCACACACCTACTCCCCACCACCACCTCCTCCCTACCACCACCTGCCTCCCTTACCACCACCTGCCTCCCCACCACCACCTGCCACCACCACACCACCCCCACCACCACCTGCCTCCTACACCTGCCTCCCCACACACCTGCCTCCCCTACCCACCTGCCTCCACCACCACCTGCCCACTACCTACCTCCGGAACACCTGTCTTCCTCTGCCTCCTTCACCCACCTGCCCTACCCCTGCCCCAACCCCCACCACCTGCCTCCCTACCACCACCTGCCTCCCACCACCACCTGCCTCCTTCACCACCACCTGCCCTACCTCTGCCCCAACCCCCACCTGCCCTCCCCTGCTGCCCCCACCTACCCCTGCCCCACCAAGCTCCTACACCCATCAAAGTTCATAGTAAATATTCATAAACGAAAATATAAGAATAATAATAAAACACTGTACCTTCGTGCTGGTTGACTTCAGATAAAAGACATAACTATATATATATATACATTGTGTTCGGTAATACGTTTCATAATTCTGGAGGAGTATTCTTGAGACATACATAAGGATAAATACCTCAATGGCCATAGTGTTAATGCCTCATATGTTTCAGAGTTATGACAGTTGGTGGGGGTTGGAACGTGATAAACTCTACGGGGTATAAATGACATATCCAGTGTTGCTAGTACGGTTTATTTATAGTCATATGCAAGCTGATGTGGATATTACAGGAAATATTCAAAGCTCCGATCCTCTTCCGGTGGTGAGCTTCAGTTTATAGGTGACTCGTACACGTCCAAGGCTCCAGGTGTTAGGAGGCATATTATCTTGAACTCTACGTCACAATTCCTCACGAGTCGGAACTAACGTGACCTTACAAGTAGAGGTCAAGGGGATTTAGGTCAGGTGATCGAGGTGGCCATGGATCAGGGCTTATCTACCTGACAGGATTGTGGAATTCTATTGTTACTCGAGCAAAATAGACTGGGTCACCATCAAGCATGTAGTACCAAAGTTGTTGACGTATCCTGGTGGCCACATCATCAAGCACCACAGTTGTTGATCAAAATTTCTGTGCCACATCCTCACACCAGTTGTTGACGTATCCTTGTATGCATCCTCAAGCACCACAGTTGTTGATTTATCCTGGTGGCCACATCCCCAAGCACCACAGCTGTTGACGTATCTCTGGTGGCCACATTATCAAGCACCACAGTTGTAGACGTATCCCAGTGGCCACATCCTCAAGCACCACAGTTGCTGACGTATCCTGGGTGTCACATCCCTCAAGCACCACAGTTGTTGATTGCATCCTGTACATCCAAGCACCATGCTAGTTGTTGACGTATCCTGGTATTACACTCAAGCACCACAGTTGTTGATTTATCCTGGTATTACATCCTCGCTAAGCACCCACAGTTGTTGACGTATCCTGCGGCTACATCCTCAAGCACCACAGTTGTTGACGTATCCTGTGTACACATCCTGCCAACCACAGTTGTTGACGTATCCTGGTGGCCACATCCTCGCTAACCACAGTTGTTGACGTATCCTGCGGCCACATCCTCAAGCACCACAGTTGTTGACGTATCCTGGTGGCCACATCCTCAAGCACCACAGTTGTTGACGTATCCTGGTGGCCACATCCTCAAGCACCACAGTTGTTGACGTATCCTGGTGGCCACATCATCAAGCACCACGGGTAAAGTTCTCCTCAAAATAATATACGAGTTATGTCTCACCTGTCAGATATGGGCCATTAAGATAATCACCAATAACACCAACATTGACTGCCAACCGTACCTGATGAGATGTACACCTGTCAATACATGCGGATCGTCAACACACACACACACACTCGACCACTGTATCACCACTTACCGGTACTTTAAATACAGGTCTTTGATATTTTATGCTTTATACCCATAGAGTCTTAACAGCCCTCCCTTACCTAACTCCTTAACTGTGATCATGGTAATAGAGTTGTTTAGCCTTGTGTATGGTCTCAAGTATACACACTGTATAGTATATTAACATTATACATAGGAGACGTGTAAACTTTAATGAGATACTTTTATTTAACAAGTTTACTGAATTAATCTTGACTATTATATTTTTTTTTTGGGGGGGGGGCAATGATGTCTCTCTCTCTCTACTTTTTACTTTAATAGGTCTCACAGAATTAATCTAGACCATTATTTTTGTCTTTGGGTCTCTATCTATCTATCTATCTATTTATACGGTTCCTCTCCTGGGTTCCATTACTCCTGGGTTCCACCACTCCTGGGTTCCACCACTCCTGGGTTCCTCCACCCCTGGGTTCCACCACTCTTGGGTTCCACCACTCTTGGGTTCCACCACTCCTGGGTTCCACCACTCCTTGGTTCCACTACTCCTGGGTTCCACCGCTCCCGGGTTCCTCCACTCCCGGGTTCCTCCACTACCGGGTTCCTCCACTCCTGGGTTCCTCCACTCCC